GCTGAACGTTCCAATCAAGGAGCACCTTTGGAAGACTGTTGTTCAGATTTCGAAGGAGGGTGGTTTTTTTTTAGTGAGTTGCATTTGTGAAGCTTGTCAAATTGTCTGACCTTGTTTCTGAGGAAGAGGCATTGTGGGTGCCATCCTTCCACTGTATGGACCTCTCAGCATGCAGGAAGGTGTGTGCACCCCCCTGCAGCACAGTGCCTCTGCGTTTGTAGCTCCTGGGACTGAGAATCCAGGAATGGGGGGCATCTGTGCTCTGGTGGGTCACATCCAGGTGGTGATGAAACCTTTCGATGCCGCTTTGCAGATGCTGCCCACAGAGACACCCCATGCCAGAGCTGAACAGCATATGTGTAGAGCTCAGGGGGCAATTCAGCTTCCCTGCCCATCTGCCAAAGGAGTCACCAATTTGTCAGGGTTACTACTTGCACTTGTCTGTGTTAGCTTGAGATAACTTAAGCTTACAAGAGCCATCACGGAACTTCTGCACAGCAGCCACACTCACCTACATCCCCTTTCCCCTGTTCTTTTTCAGGAGGTTTCTGCTATGTTCAGATAACTGGTTTATGGGATCTTGCAGTGGGTTTAAGTAAATTGAAGGAAAGGTTAAAAAAAAAAAAAAGGGCTTCTAAACAAGGTTTTTGATTTCAAACCAGCAAATTTTCAGAAATTACAAGTGCCAGGCAGTACAGAGGTAAAGCGAGACTCGCTGAACAGCAGGCTGAGGTAAACTCTGCAAAGAAAATCAGAGTAAGATTTTAGCTGTATGCACCAAAAAAGAAGAGTGAAAGCCTGCTGAGCGTGGCCTCCAAGTGCAATTAATTTTCGTTTGTGTTCAGTGAGGAGGATGATGCTGAACAGGAGGGCAAAATGGCAAATGGGAATGAAGTTACGGAAAAGGAAATTGTCACATTGGAAGTGTGATGAAGCAAAAGAAGTTTAATATATGCAAAATGGGAGGAAACCAGAGACACTGGATCTAACAGGCGATGGTAAAGTCGTGAAGGCTAAGTCCTGGTATACAGGTTTTAAACAAGTCTGTACAATCAGAAGTGGAGCTCTATAGCTAAACCAACAGGAAAATGTCCTGTTTGTACTCAGATGACTACAAGCCACCAGTGCAACACGGCCATGAAAAGAAGAGTGCAGTCTCTGGTGTGTACCAGAGTTAGTGTCCCCTAAGGTGTGCGGGAAGTGCTTGTGCCATCACACAAGGTCCCCTGGGCTTCACCTATCTTCAGCCCTGGGCTCCAGAAAGGTGACTTCAGAGAGGTGTGGGTATGGGGAATGGCTCCCACCTTGTGCAGAGGAATGGAGAGACTGTCTTACAAATGGAACCTGGAAGAGTAGGGTCATCTGAGCCTGGCCAAAGTAAATCTGAAGGGGGCTCTGACAGCGCTCAGGAAAGATACCAGAAGATAAACAGCAGGAGCAGGAAAAGGCTGTTTCAACTAAATGACTGTTCTGGCACAGGAACAAAAACCTATCGATAAATAGATTTAAGCTGGCAGTTGTACATATTGATGGCCAACTACATAACAGCCACCCAGCAGGTGCAAACAGGTTAATACCCTAATTCAAGACAGGATGGTCATTTAAGAAAAAGGGATTATATGATGGAGCATGGGTTATGAGAAACACTGGATTTGGTGATCCATGGACTCCTTATATTCTTTTAACTCGTTCTGAATTCAAAACAATTATAGTGTCTACCTTTTAAAGTAACAGGACTATATTTTCACTTCTCACCGAGTACTGCTATTAACAATATTATCAATACCACAGCATTGGTAATAACTCTCACTTCTTTGTTATATGAACCCCCAGAATGACCTCCTAGTATTTTGCTGCTTGCACATCAGTTGGTATTTAGTAACCATCAGAATATTTTTCTTCACTTCATACGCACACTGCACCTTTTTACAGATTAAAATTACCAGTTATACCCAAAATGGTAGATTAACATCCCTGTTAAATTACAGGCAGTGTTTAATGTTTGAAGTTTGAATATATCTCCATGATTAGACTAACAAGATGTGACCTGTGTGTTTTTCTTGGTGTGCTTACAGGGACTTGGATACTCGCCAGCCAGATTGATCCATGTTCTTAACCCATTTTGCAAATGCAATTACCAAGGGGCTTAGATAAAGTCAGTGCAAGAGAAAATAAAGTTATTCACGGGCAGGATAAGTCTGTTTAATACCACGGAAACTATTCCTTCATTTGCAAGGAAGCCCTTCAAAATTATGTTCTCACAGTAGCTTTTCCACTTTGGCAAGTTAGCTCCAAGGCTGCAGCTATTTACCAGGTGAGGCAAAGGGTAAGCTTCAGTTGGCTTTAGTGGGAGCAAGGCTTAAGAACATGTTTGCATCCTGTGGGAAGACACCCACAGTGCTTCAACCAGCGCTAAGCTCAGAAGCAGGAGCTCTGGGGAGCTCTTGTCAGAGCAGTGGCGAGAATATGTAAATGATGGAGCTAAGAATATACCATATAGTGGTATACTGAATATGCTGCCAGTTTTGTAGGTCTTGTCCAAATTCCTGGCTGCCTCTGGCCATAATCCACACAGAGAGGGCTGAAGTGCTAATGAACTTGCACGGCTAGCAGTGCAACGTGGGAAGCAGATAAGGTTAATAACTGCTGGGCTGGCTTAGCCATGCATGCTTGGGCAGCAGGGATAATGAGCAAAGAGAAGAAAATGCGGATGGCTTCTTTAAATTACAAGAATGTCTTCGGATAGGATAGAAAGGTACATAAAAATAGCATTTTGGCAGAATTTCCTAGCTGCTCTGCTTGAGGGGGAACATACGCACTTACTTGGGAGGAAGGTGGGTGACAGCAAATGAGCATCTCGGCCAGGTAGTGACTCAGCACTTAAGCATAAGATCTACTGCCATTTTACATGCCAAAGGGTACCTGAAACACCCTGAGGAGGTCTTCTGGCAGATGAGACTCAGGACTTACAGGAGTGCTGTGCCCTCCTGGAATGCCGGGCAGGCACCCTAGGAGATGCCAAAATGGACCAAACACCTGTGTTCAGGCACCTGATTCACCCTGTAATAACAATTTGTTGCTGAAATCTCTTCCCCTCCACTGTCTCTCGCACCAAGAAAGAAGCAGACATTAACAGAAAGCCAAGATATATAAAAATCCCAAGAAACGTGGGTTTTGTGATGAGTCTTTGCTAGTCCTGCCTGAAACAAGGTAGCAAGATCTGGCATTGTAAGGCTCTTACGGCAATTATTGTGCTAATGACCCTGTACTTTTTATGAGGTGGCTATTTTCTGCCTGGTCTTGTTTTATAGAGCATCTCTGAAATAATAATGCAAATGTTAACTGATCACAGCTTTTAGTTAGAGGGATTTTTGAGACTGTGTGCTGAGGTAATTGGCCAATGTTCTTCTTACCTATACCAGGCAACCGTAATCTTGAGTTCAGAAGTGGTATAGTCATGTTTAGAAAACATGGTTTATTACCTGAAGCCTTGGTTCTGAGAAAAGGTTGACTGTGGAGCCAACCATTAAGTCTCATTACCCTGCTGGTGTGCTACCTGCAAGCTCAGGTGTCTGCTACCTTGGAGATTTCTCCATCGCTTGGTGTACAAAATGAGTACTCTAGATCTGTGGTCAAGAAGTAGTCATCCCCTAACAGTTTCATGACGTCAGCTGCAGTCATTTACATACCAGATCAGTACATTACAGTTGAATACATCCTTGGAGTTGCCAGAAGTCAATCTGGGGGTGCAGATGTCTGCCAGCTGCATGCACAAAGGCATTCTGTGCTAGGCATTTGCAGTGCAAAATGCCTGAAGATGGGAAGCAGCATGAAGGTTACATGCCTACACGGGCATCGGCAAATATGTTATACAGAAAAAAGAATCAAAAGCTTATATCTGAAAACCTCTGTTTATTCAGTGTAGTATAGACAGGTGTCTGTGGGAGTCGTGAACTCATTTCTTCATTCCCTTTTGTCTGAGGCCACAAGAACAAAAGTGCCTTTATTTCCCTCAGCTTGCTTAAAACATGTACATTTCTGCATGAAAAGTACGGTTGCAGTCAAACCTCACACTCAAGCTAGCTGAACACAGAAATCAAAGAGATTTTTCCATGATGCACAACTAACCTAATGTGTTTTAGGCTGAGAGGAGGGAGCAGAGACAGTGCCTTCTTACGGAGTGCTGGAGACTGGCCATAACTGAAGCTCAGTGAAATGACTCAGGAAATGCAGAA